TGACTACAGCCTTTTTGGGCAAATTAATTGGATGCCTATAATCTTCAGGAAGACACAAAGTAAATGGATCAAATCATAATTGTTGAACCGATATTCAAATCTCGATCCAAAAATCTAATCTTTTGAATAGAGAATGGCAAATAAATCGTATTGAAAGATATGAAAAACAGTTCCTTAATAAAAATTTACTGTCATTCACATGTTTTTAAAATAAAAAATACTGAAAAAAAAATTGAGAAAGTTATACTAAACTTACAGACAACTAGTGAAATAATTGTTTTAAAAGTATATTGTATAAATATTGGGTATCATTTTTTTTCGGAAAAAAAAAATAGTTAATTAAATAATTGCTTCATTTTACTATCAATTATTAAAATTCACTAAGATTCATTAGAGATTATGATTCACCCATAAAATTCAGATATTTTGCTAGTAAATTGAATCAAACTGTAAAATTTGAATCTTTAATCATAAGATTCTAAAAACAGGGATCAAATTACCTTCTGAGCCTTTTCCCTGCAAGAAGCCTTCTTCAACTCAATCTCAACAAGAGGCAATTCATCAACTGTTCCAGAAACATAGAAAGAAGAGAAAGTTATGCAAAATATTAACAAGATTAACAAAAATAGAAGACTTCATAATCAACTGATTACTCATCCAGCAAAGGGGAGAAACACTAAACCTGCAATCCTCAAAGATGTCCCATCCTTTATAAGGCAACTTAACTCATCAACCACATTTTCTTGATCTTCCCGTTCATGGACATTCACCAAAATGTTATTAAAGCGAGAAATCCAGGAAAGAGTGTCATTGTGGTATTGCTTCAGAAGCTTCAACTCTGGTATGTTGACAGTGAAACCATCCAGTTCCAGTAGCAGTAGCTCAACATCCTGCACAAATCAAAAGTACAAAAACTTGAGGTAATAAAACTCAGCAGAATTGGAAGGCTAAAGAAGAAAAGGCTGAAATTGAACTGCTGTGAGACGAACCTTTAAATTAATAGAAACACTCAACATTTCATTACATCTAGCACGACATGATTCAGCTTGCCTTAATAAATCCAGAATCATCTCTGTTTCTGGGAGTTGAACCTGAAGCTCCATTATCTAATAACGAGGCCAAAAACAAAAACATTAAACAGAAAGATAAGAAAATCAGGACCAACATAAAGAACAAAAAAATCTGAATCACCTCCAAATTCAACTTGTAAAGAGCATCCAACTCAACTCCCCCAGGACGTTTGTCCAAGATGCACTCTTTTGCACTTTCTATCCATACCTAATAAGGATAACAACCACAAATATACATATGTATATACACACACATATATAAGCATTTAACTACAAATTAAACCAGTGACATGGTAGTTTGAAAGGTTGACTGAACCACCACAGAAAAGCTTCGTGCCTCAAAAAAAGTGCTTTAATATCAAAATTTATTATGAATAGTAAAAGGAGAGCAAAAGACAGCTCAAAAGGCATATCAATTAGGAAGGATTAGACAAATAAAATGCAATCCTATTAGCATAAAAATCTCTGGTTGCGAATTAATTCAATGAGGCCAGCAAATGGAAGTACTTAACCAAGCCTATCGAACTTATCAATAACAAAGAGGCAGCCAAAGAGCATCCTAAACCACATTTACTAGCTAGATTGATGTTAGTGGACAACAATGACGTTAGTGGCAAAATAATACCTTTCGCCAATAGGTAGGAAGTGTTTGGTTATCCAAAAACTAAAATGAAAAGAACATGGAAAAATAAAACATTTTTGTTTTGAGGAAATTGATAATCTTAATTGAATACTATTTTAGAATCAAAATGAAAGCGACAAGCTTAAGCGATATTCTTGGGGTGGTAACAGCTCATTTAATGTAGGCAGATGGAAGAAGCCTCGTGTTACTTCTGGTGTATTAGAGAAGGAAGAAGAATTATGAACTGAATAATTAATTATAAATCAATGTATGTATTAAAATTATTTTATTGTAAGAATATTATCTAGTCTTATGTAGTTAACTATTGGTAGTTTGTTAATAAGGATTTTATATTAAGTAGAATATTATATCATTTAGAGTTCTAATAGTATAATTATATCCTATAATTAGAGTTCAAATAGAATAAGGATAACTAATCTATATATATCTTCTAAATGTAAACAAAACAAGAAATAAAAAAATTAAAAATTTATTTTCTCTAAGAACTTTATGATATCAGAGCGCCGGTAAAAAACTGCAGCCGCACATTCGCAGATGCTGATAAAAACTGAAACTGCACATTCGCAGGCGCCAATAAAAAGGTGCAGCCGCGCATCGGAAACACTGATAAAAATTTAAAGCGCACATCCAGAAATACTAGTAAAAAATTACAGCCGCACATCAATAGATGCAGGTAAAAAAGGCCACACCATTACCTTTTTCTATGCACGTTTAGAGATTTGCCCGGAGAAAACGAATCAAGCGGACTTTGAGCCGTTTTAGAGCCGAGTCTGAGCCGTTTTAGAACTAAACATGAGTCGTTTAGAGCCGAACCAGGTCTGGTTCTGTTTTTTTTTTGCTCCTTGGTGTAGATACACTGTCTTCAGTTTTATATGTGGTTAGTTTTTCTGATAATCTTTTATCTATTAGTGCCATAACTAGATATTTCAACTATAAAATTGACTTTTTTCCTGATTATTGCATCTTTCAAGATCTTCAAACCGGGAAGAGGATTGGCACTGGTAGACTGCAAGACGGCTTATATGTCTTGAATAGATATCTAAATTTAATTGGAAATCAAGCAACCATTGGGAATAAAGAAGTCAACATGAAGATACTATAATAGCATCGATGATTGGAACATCCTTCTTTTTTTATTTTAAAAACATTATATTTTAGGTTATTTAAAAATACTTTTATGGAGTTTTTATTTTATAATGCATGCAAGCTTGCTAAACATAAGAGGAGCTCTTCTCATTTAAGTAATAATAAATGTATTGATCTTTTTAAAACTATTCACTCTTATTTGTGGGGACCTACTCAGAATATTTCTCTTTTTGGTCATAAATGGTTTGTTACTTTTATTGACTGTTGTACTAGATTAACATAAATTTATCTGTTAAAAGTAAAAAGTGATGTATTTTTATGTTTTCAATCTTTTCACAAAATGATATGTACACAGTTTGGTGCTAAAGTTAAGATTTTACAAACTAACAATGGTACAGAATATATGAATATTAGGTTCTGTGCCTACTTGGAGTCAAATGGAATAATTTATCAAACAAGTTGTGCCTACACCAGTAAAAAAAATAAGTTTGCTGAAAGAAAAATGGGGTTGCTGAAAGAAAAAACAGACATATATACTAGAGGTAACTCGGTCACTAATGTTCACCATGAATCTGTTAAAGAGTTACTGGGAAGATGCAATTCTCTCAGCTGTTTATCTTATCAATAGAATATTTTTGCGGATCCTGAATTTTAAAAGTCCTATGGAGGTTTTGCAAGAAAAAATTTCCTACATTGTTCCCCCAAAAGTGTTTGGATGTGTGTGCTTTATTCATACTAGAAATGTAGGTAAACTAAGAACCTAAAGCTTTTAAGTGCATATTTGTTGGATATTCTTCTACCCAAAAATGCTACAAGTATTATCATCCATCATCTAAAAAATACTTTGTAACTATAGATGTTACCTTTAGGGAGAATGAGTCTTACTTCAACTCAAACCCAACACCTCTTCAAGGGGAGAGTGAGAAGGAAGAAGTGATACTTAATTGGGTAACGATTGAGAATCATATTCAGGGGGAGAATTCTATTACAGAAAGTCTTAATCAAGAAAATAATGTTAGATGTCTGCATAAATCAGACTTGAAAAGGTATTCAATGAGAGAGAAATCTGAAAAAGTCATTATACAGTCTGTCCCAGATCAAGAATCTTCTTTGGTTCCAGAGATACTGGTGAGTTATATTTCTCTTATGATTTATCAGATAAACCTATTGCTATTAGAAAGAGAACAAGAATTTACACTAAGCACCCTATATCTATTTTTTTTTTATGACTCTCTATCTTCCTCTTATAGAGCCTTTGTCTTATTTTTTTTTTCTGTGTCTATTCCACAGGATTGGAGAGAAGCTCTACGAGATCCCAACTGGAAGAAAGCCATAATTGAAGAAATGAGAGCATTGACAAAGAATGAAACATGGGAATTTGTTTCACCTCCATAAGGAAAGAAGATAGTTGGTAGCAAATGGGTGTTCACTGTAAAACACAAAGCAGACGGATCGATCGAAAGGTACAAAACTAGATTGGTGACTAAAGGATTTACTCAGATCTATGAGATTGACTATCATGAAACATTTGCACCTGTTGCAAAGATGAACAGAATTAGGGTACTTTTGTCTTGCGCAACTAATCTTGAATGGGATTTATAACAATTTGATGTAAAAAAAGCATTCCTCCTTGGAGACTTAGAGGAAGAGGTGTACATGAAAATTTCACTTGGATTTAAGATCAGAGGATGCAAAGAAAAGTTTGTCAATTAAAAAAGACTTTATATGAATTGAAACAGTTTACAAGAGCATGGTTTGAACGGTTTACAATACTTATGATCTCTTTTGGATATCAACAAAGCAATGTGGATCATACCTTATTTATTAAACATCGTGAGGATAAAGTCACTCTTCTCATTATTTATGTGGATGATATTGTGGTGATTGGAAATGATACGAAGGAGATGGCTCGGTTAAAGGAACTTCTTGCTCAAGAGTTTGAAATAAAATATCTAGAAACATTGCAATATTTCTTGGGGATTGAAGTTGACAGATCCAATAAAAAGATATTCATTTCTCAAAAAAAATATATCTTAAACTTATTAGAAGAGACTGATATGGTGAGTTGCAAGTCGGCAAAATCACTTATTGAAAGCAACCACAAATTACAAACAGGTAGTGTTACATCAATTGACTTGGGAAGATACCAGAAACTAGTTACAAGACTCATTTATCTCTCACATACCAGACCCGATATAACATATGTAGTTAGTTTTGTGAGCCAGTACATGCATGATCCTCGTGAGACTCATTTACATGTTGTCTTCTGCATATTACAATACTTAAAGTCTTCACCAGGAAAAGGTCTGCTCTTTTCTAAGCATGATCACCTTAAAATAGAAACATTTACAGATGTCTTTTAAGCTGGTTCCCTAGATGATAGAAGATCAACTACAAGTTACTGTACACTTGTAGGAGGCAACTTAGTCACATAGAAAAGTAAGAAACAAAGTGTGGTTGCTCGCTCCAGTGCTGAAGCAGAATATAGAGCAATGGCCCAAGAAATATGTGAAATACTATGCTTGCAAAAGCTAATGAGGAAGTTAAAACTGCTTAAAAATGAGAAACTATCGTTGTTTTGTGACAATAAAGCAACAATTAACATTGCTCATAATTCAATTCAACATGACAGGACAAAACACATTGAGATTGATCGACACTTCATAAAAGAGAAGGTGGTTGGTGGCTCTCTATACTTATATCATATATCTTCTGGCGACCAAGTAGCTGACATTTTTACTAAACAACTATACAACAAATCTCTTCAGAATCTGATTTGCAAGTTGGGCATGTGTAATATTTTTGCGCCAACTTGAGGGGGAGTGTTGATAAGGATTTTATATTAAGTATAATACTATATTATTTAGAATTCTAATAATATAATTTATATGCTATAATTAGAGTTTAAATAAAATAAGGATAATAAGTGTATATATATTTTCTAAATGTAAACAAAACAAGGAATAAAAAAATTAGAAGTTTATTTTCTTTAAAAACTTCATAGTTATTTGTTCAAGAATAAGGGAATTAGACAAGGTAATTCATAAACTGTGGAAATAACTCCCAGATTAACTATCCTCCATTGTAATAAAACAGATTGCTATATCTTTTGACAGATTATGTACGAAGGAATTTCGTCAAAGTTTTTGAGTACTTGTCTTACTCAAAGAGATGGTGGGTTCTCTCTTAAAAAGTCTGCACTTAGGACCAAATTAAGCAAAGAAAGAAAGAAACAAAAATACTTGCAATTATTTACTGATTTTCATGTTCATTCTCCTGTAAATCGATCTATCAGTAGGGTCATAACAAATTACCTATAAGAGGGCTTGAAGTAGATAGATAGGCTCGAAATGACAAGTGAATAAGAAGGGTTTCAGCATTTGCTTCTCAAAAATAGGATTTCAGCATTTGACCAGGAAAGCTGGCAAAATATACTACAGTGTTCACGCAACACCATCCCAATAGGGACACTACACAGTACTCCAACTCCACCTATATGTCAACTAAATCACTCTCACGGTCCAGTCGGGTTTTGGCAAGTGAAGATAAGTCAACAAGAGAAACAAACACTAAACTGAAGCAATTGAATATTTCCCATCAGACTGACAGGGAAAGAGGAATCAATTTCAGAGCTCATACCAAGTAACTTGATGGTTTATCTTTGATTGAAGTCAGTCTTGGATTTAATCACGTTCGTTTCTTTCAGTGTGACTTTCTTTTTCATTTTTTTTTTCTTTTTTGAAATAGAACTTTTTCTTTTCCCACTATCCTCACCTCACAGTGGTTTGGTTATTCCAGTTTAACTCTCTCTATTGGTGGGCAGGTATATGAAGGAAGGAAGGAGTACATTACAAAATGAAGGCTCAAAGATAAATAATTGCCCTTTTCTAAGGAATTACTGCAGCTTTTCCACTCCCTTCGATTATCATATACAAAAGAAGTCTCTTCAAGCATCCTACCAACTCTCTCTTTATTCTGGCGCATAAACTATCAAAAGAAGATTAGTTGTGAATGTGTTGTCAGCAAAACTTACCTTTGCAGAAGAAATTTTCTGTAATAGTTTTCCTATTTCACTCGCATATATTGGTAAACCACAAGCTTTGGTATACAGTAATTCCAACTCAGAAACCTGAAGTGACAGCAATGAAAAATAAACAAATTAGTCGAGACTACTCTATAGTGGAAAAAAAATAACGCAAAGAAAAATTTAGTATTGCAACATCATATTTGAAATGCTAAGTAACAAGCATAAAGATATTTTCTCTGGGAACTGCGGCAGGATACTAAGTAGAAGCCTACTTCAAATAATTTTTGAAAAGTTTAATTTGACATACGCTGGGACAGGTTAATAGAGCACCATCAATTGCCTGAACCAACTTCCTAGCCTCTTCTGCATGATTCTGCATGAAATAAATTAGACAGCTGTAATCATGTGATTGGCAGGCCAACAACAAAACACTGAAAACTGAAAACGACCAGCAAACCATTAAAACCTTCAATTTGAGATGCAAAGGCTCATTACAGGGAACAGGATCCCACATCAGCAACTCATTAACATATTCCAGTGATACTTTTTCTGAATCACAGGAATTGCAAGACCAGTTTTCAACTTTTGAAATACAATTTCTTATGCCTGCCGCCCATTTTTTTGCTTCAGTCAGATTCTTAACTACATGCCGGACCTGTAGTCAATGAAAAAAAGATAAGTTAGCCTAAAAACTACCTACTTCAGAGGCAGAGAAACAAATGGTAAACAGATAAAAGCCAATGCTCACAGGATCCATCTCAGAGCCAGCCCAAAGAAATTGTTCAGCTTCCTCCAGTTGAATGGTATAATCATCACTAGAAAATGCATGCTCAATAATCTTGCGTGACCGTGAAAGCCATTTTTCTGCAAGTTGAGCCAAAGTAGCATGCCCACCTTTCACCTATGTGCACAAGGATGATCTCAGCAATTGCATTGTGATTATGCATCTCATGCAGCTAACACAGAACTATAATGTAATGGAACTAGAGACAACAATCTTTTCCCATTCTGGTTGCATCTTTTCATATTCCGAATATTAACGCCCACTTTTGGGAAAAACAAATAACTAGATTCAACTTAGATCTACCAATATCCTTAGTTAAATATTCAGCAATATGGTACATCACTTCAGCCAAAACGAGATCACTCCTGTACTTCCATGTAATCAAAAAAATAAGACCTTCCAACATGAAAGGCAAGATATATTCTATAAATGGGAAGTAAAAGAGCATGATTTCATCAAAGCCAACACACATTTCAGTATAAACAAATGATAGATGCAGTTATTGGAAAACATTGATAACTAAGATGATCCAATAAAAAACCCAGTGTATATTTTTTAAATAATAAAAAAAATATCATAATTGTCTATCACTTCATCAAAGCATAATAACTTAGTAACTTACCTTTTTTCTGTAAGTGTATAGTTCCTTGGGACACGAAATTTGTTTCTGCAAACTATTATCTTGTGGTGTCTCATAACAATATTTGTCCACCATCGAAACCAAGTCAAGCAATTCTGCTAGTGTATGACGATAAAGAAGACGAAGTTTCGAGGGCTTGCACTCGCAAAGATGTTCCCAGTGCTGCCATAAAACAAATTAAAAAAGACTAAATATGGAAAAAATTTCAAGGAAAAGTTTCAAAATGAACAAAAGCAGTTTCAAAGTGCAGAACATGTTTAACCAAGTTAAAATAACTTTTCTAATCATCTCCACAAATAGATTCTCCAAGAAAACTATTGACCAAGAGAGATATGCATATCTTTTTTACTCTTGTTTCTTACCAGTAACATAACCAAGTGGCAACAGCTTTCTCACTGTTTTAATGTATCTAAGGGAAAGTAGGCCCTTTATAATTTCATAATAAAATCAGGACTTTTTCTAAGGGAAAGATAAATAATAACTTCAGTTAGTAAATGTTAAATGGAGAAAATCCTACAAAGAGAAATGGGTGAGCAAATCTCTTCAGGTTGGGAAAGGGTTTAGGGAGGAGGGAGGCAGAGAGGGAAGCAGTAAGTGGAGAAGGAGAGACGGTTAGCAAAGAGGGTGATTAGGTCAGCTGCACTGGCCGACCAGAGGGGCAGAAGAATATGGAGAAGCAGCGAAAGAAGCTTTTCGTCATTGAGAATAAGTCTTTTGATGTGGCTTGTGAAGGGAGGAGAATGGAGGGTATAAGGATAAGCAAAAATGGTAGAGCCTTCCGAGTGTCGATTTCTTTGGAGAAGGAAACGGCTTGGCTAATAGACGCATTTGAAGATTTTTACTGGAAAAATGGAGGTAAGACATGGGGGAAGCACACAGCCGGATGAAATCACAATCTTTGGAGATCCCTTGGACAAAACCTGAATAGGAGATACTTGGTGCCAACAGTGGAAAGAGGGAGAGCTACAAAGAGAATATTCCTGCAGAAGTGATCGGATAGTGGTAGGTGATGGAATCAATGTTTGAGTTAGTGGATTGCTCTCTTGTAAATCCCGATAAAAGGGAGAAGGAACTGGTCACCAGAGGAGGAAATACAAGGGTAGAGAGAAAAGAAATCATTCAAAGAATTATATTCAATGCCCACATAGCTTGGCAGCTATCCGGATCACAGTGGAGAAAGGAAGGCAGAAGTCGTACACGGCGAGATTACAATCTGAGGGAGGAGAAACGAACCAGGTTGGGCAGACAAGGCCCATGAAGGATGTGGATCAGGTCAAATTTGAATTTAAAAAAGGGGGAGAAGACTACAGTTTGAGACTTTACCAAAACACACGAGTTGGCCATCATTTAGGCTACGAGGGAGGTATGGGCCAACACTGAGTGGGCCAAGAAGAATAAATGCCAATGGGCAAAATAGAGGAAGAAGGTTCACTTGGGAGGAGAAAGGAAAGAGCACGGAGAGGGTTGGGCCAAGTATTGAATCAAGAAGAAAATGAAACTCAAAGCTGAAATGGGTTTGGAAGCCAGTTAAAAAAGATCCTACCCGAGGGGAATGTTTGGGTCAGATAAAGGAGAGTGAGGAAGACGAATCTCAAGCGCGAGAGGAGACTAAAGTCGAAGGATAAATCAAATGGGAGATCATAGCTGGTTTTGATGACCAGAAGCAGACTGACAACAAAGAAGAAGGAAAGTCCAGTACGACAAAGGGAGAATTGTTGAGGGACAGAAAGAAAAATGAAGTAGGAAGCGGAATTGTTGGAGACAGAAAATTTAGAAGAGGGAATGCCGTAGAGAAAGAGAGGGAACTTGCGATTGTGTTAGTTGAAGAAGAAGTGAACAAAGCTATCATTGTGAGTGAACCAGAAACAAGAAATCAAAGACGAGTCATTTCGGGGGGGTGGAGGACGAGGGAGTAAAAGGAGAGGAGAGTAGGTCTGTGCGATGTTGCAAAATATCCAAAAATCAGTACAACGCTGGAGTAACATTTGAAGGTATTTAAGAGTATATGATAGAGTTATCTGCTGAAATTGAGATAAGAAGAATGAAAAACAAA